CAAATGAAGTTCAGGTTAAGAACTCTTATGAATCAGGACAACGTGAAAGAAGAAGACGCTGGTGTCATACGATTTAGCAGGTAACTCTTAAAATGTCAACAGGAATAATATTAGCCGCGTCACGACAAAACCAACATAGTGGGTTTGCGACGAGCATGGATCCAGACCAGCCTGTGCATCCGCGCAGTCAGATCAGGATCCATGCTGTTCGCTCACAAACTCTATTACAAGTGGAGAAACTGACAGCGAACAGCATCCTGATCAGACTGCGCGGATGCTGGTTTAGTCGTGACGCGGCTCATAGAATAACAACAACAGTCTTTCGCCACTGGTATAAGGTAAGGCCAGCTCGCATAATCGTGCAGGAAGACCAGACTCTGTATGTTGCTGTCGTGGTTGATTTGTGCCATTTCGTGTCTTCGCCCTTCAAAAGTCGAAAACGAATATTCGAAGACTTTTCTTGTCTTCGCCTCGACTTTTGCTGGCGCTGACACGAAGACACGATAGATTTTAGATGAAATAACGATATTTTTATAGGGATGACAGGAAATCTTCAGTATCGGCGGGAAGAAATCTTCGTATTGGCGCCCTAAAGTCATGTCTTCGCCTTTTGACGTCGTGTCTTCGTCTCAAAAGGCGAATACACGATAATTGGCCAATCTATCGTGTCTTCGACTTTCGGGGAGAAGACGTGAAGGCATAAAATGGCAAAAATAAGCCACCATACAATTTTCGACTTTTGATACCGGAATCCCTGAATTTATTAATGTGCAGTACATATTTCAAAGCATAACATTACTTTGGCAGGTTTAGACTTATATATAAAATTCACCTATTTATTTGATTATATAGCAAACATTTGAAAACTTTACTTTTAAATAGGGAACATTTTAGGAAGCTGTCTGCGTCATGTGCGTATGTGCGTAAAACGAACTAACATTCTGTATCCGATACATTCTGAATGGTATTTATAGAAAGTTCTGTTAGTCACGTGGATTTTTGATTAATTTTTCACATTGAACACAATTATGGAAAAATGCCAAGATATTTTTATTCTAACATGTCCACTTAGATGGACATAATGTCACTCGAACCGTGTATATGTTTGATTTATATAATCCACAGGCTTGCGGGTAAGTCGGATGAAGTGGGGTACTCTGACCTGTACAGTGACATAAGTGATCGCTATGACTCTGCCCTCTATAACACAATCACTGCAGACGACTTTTCCAGAGAAAGAACCGGAACCGGAACCAGAAACAATTCACAGCATTGTCCTTGTGAGCGCATACCGGAAGTGGACACTTTGACAAGACAAGTATCCCAGAATACTTTGCGACCTAAAAACAAGATTACATTAGAAATTCAGCTAGAAGGTACAACAGCGACGAGTGTTGAGCTATTACCAAAGGGCGGAGACGATCAGTCATACCTACATGCTATTACCAACAGTTATCTTTCCTGCTAACTTTAGAAAAATAAAAGCATGTGAACAAAAGAGCTAGAAATATTTGGACAGTATGTCATTGACAAAGACTTGTTTGTTTTCACACTTCCTTATTTAGAACAATATGTTCAGACTAGATTCATTTCCTTCGCTGACAAATATGTAAATTACTCATACATTATAAAGTAAATGTTTATACTCATGTATATATGACTAAACAATCTTTATATACAGTCATTGTCGTTGAATGCATTTATAACCATGTTCATGTGTCAAATCAGAACATTGTTTTTTGTGCCTTTGTTTGTTTTTAAATACATTGTACATGTAGCGTCCATTGTCTAAAGTTTAACGTTTGTACTGATTGCACATTTTGTAAAGTGTTAGTAGGCTACCTAGTAGGCCATCAAACTTGTCTAATTTTTCATTGCGGCATTTGCATTTTTACTTTTGGTTATTTAGTTGTTACGTCGTCACATTACTTTTCTTTTGCAGCTTTTGAACCATCGGCGCATCATTTGTAAAGTAGCGCTTTGCTTTTGGAAATGTGCAGATATGTTGATTACATCCATTAATTATGAAAAAAGAAGAAAAAAACTGCATTGTTAAATAGATCAACAATATTAACATTATGATGTTATTTTTTTTTTGTTGTCATTCTTTTTCTTGTGTATACATGGCTGTTTTTTTTCTGTCGGTTATATAGCATAAATACCCGGTATGTAATTATCTTTTGGTTACATGGAATAAATCTTCAAAAACAAGCCAGGTGTTATTATTTTACGATATGTTAAATTGTTAATATATCTAATTATATACGTTACCGTATATTTCCAGCAAACTAGATGCTCTTATTGCATATTAATTGTTTTATAATACTGCACGTTTGTAATTCCACAAAATTTCCAACCTCCAACATCAACGTTTCGACGGGTTGAACCCATCTTTATCAAGATAAAGAGGTTTTTAACCCCTCGAAACGATAATTATAAATTAATTTTTTTCCAAAGTGATTCATAAATTGATGTTATATTAATTAAATGCCCCCCTACCCCACTCTTTCTTGATCCGCGCATACAAACCATTACATTGAACCTGGCAGTGCGAAAATATCGTATGTTAAACATACTCCACCCGTTTTCCTACACACTTCCGCGGGTGTCGGGATTTAATTTAGTTGTTGCATTAATACCGGGTCACATTGTAAGCTGGTCGGCGATATAGGAACACAGAAAAAAAGACGTACATTGTTTTAAAATTCATACACGGCATAGGTTTGGGGAACAATGGAATGAGGTGGTGGTGGAGATTGATAATGGAATATTTCTATGCAACAAAGATAAATCCTTACTATGCTCGGTATATGGAAATGAAAATACGATAGTCTGACCTAAAAATATCTACTGTTTAATGACATAACCAGTTGTACCAAAATCCGGATTATCAAAATAAGCCTAAACTACGTAAATATACATTTTAAAGAATTGCTAATCCTTCCATTATATTCACCGTGTGAAGTCTAATATAAATATTACTTCTTAATGGGTGTTCTTTTAATCCAGTCTGCAATACATATATATACTGTATACATGTATAATCTTAATGCAACTTGTCATAAAAGGTTTAAGTGGGCGTTGTTTCACATGTCACGTGGTCAGTAACATGGAAATTGGATGTTTTTAAGTAATAAAACTAATTGAGAAACTAACACTACATTTTAAGAACATGAAATATTTCTTAAATCTGTAGCATAATTTGTGACTTCTTGGATACTCGCATTTAAAAAAAAATTTATGTCAGTCCATTGATCAGCAGAAAATTTCGATGAAAAGGGAGTTATCTTCTTTGAAGTCTTTTTGCAAAACATTTGGTTGGCTACCCCTATATAAGATCATTTTTATGCGTCAGGCATTTCATTCTGCTGGAAAAATCACCTCTTTAGTATGAAAACTCGTTTTAAATGTAGCTCATTTTAATAGCCTATGGGAAAATCAATTATGAGAGCCTGGCCTCAATGCATGTAGGCTATCAGTTGTATGCATTGATCTTAGGTCCGATTAATTAACAAGGGTTTGTTTTTGTTGTTGATGTTGTTTTAAGATAAACAAGTACATTCAATGCGTTTGTAAACAATATACTATTTCAGGCATAAATCTCACATGTATATGAGCGAAAATGAGAAAATTATAATACATTGTAGCTAGTAACATATCGGCCTATAAAAGTTCGTGTTTACTGTCCTTCACTCTATATTACACTTGATATGGTTAACCGAAATGTACATCGGTTAAAAAGATATGTTGGATTCCGGTGATACATAATCATGTTGGTGAAGATGTCATTTTGAAAAGTGCTATTCGAGCTTCATTGGGTTTCTAGAAAGTTACCCATTCATGCTTTGTCATTTGACTTTGAGAAGTTTTTGTTGTCGTGGGTTCAGGTGTGTCAAAGATCAAACATAAGGACTAGGTAATAAAATGACCGAAAATAAGCTCCAAACACTATGCAACCAAACAATCTTGATTTGTAATGACTGAATAGTGAACAGTGCAGACCATGATTAGACAGTGCCGATGTGATCTTGGTCTGCACTGCTTGTAGGGGTACAGATTCGGTTAAAGGCCCATGATGCTTTAGGAATGCTTCAATTTTTATTTCTCAAAAGCTTTTTAATTTTGATGTACTTTTATAGTATCAAAAAAGTAACTCATTGGCCAATTACCTGAAACCATCTTTTTTATCTGTTGCTGTTTGGCAATAGTTACAGTTATAGTGAATAAGTATTTTGTATTGAAGTCAAAATACTACATTGTTGCTACTTTCATGATAAATGAGCCGCGTCACGACAAAACCAACATAATGGGTTTGCGACCAGCATGGATCCAGACCAGCCTGCGCATCCGCACAGACTTATCAGGATCCATGCTGTTCGCTTACAAACCGTATAACAAGTAGAGAAACTGATAGCGAACAGCATGGATCCTGATTAGACTGCGCGGATGCGCAGGCTGGTCTGGATCCATGCTGGTCGCAAACCCATTATGTTGGTTTTGTCATGACGCGGCTCAAATTATTTCACATTTATAGTTACTTTCTTCAAGTAACAAGTACCTAGCATTCTCTCAAACCATTATCTAAACATTTAAATTTCATGTTTGTCCTTTAAATATTATGAAATTCATGTTTGCCTTTTCTAAAGGAGTGAAAATTTATTTGTTACTGAGGCATAATGTGCCTTTAATACAAATGCAGTTGGCTCTAGTTTAACATTGAAATCCCCATTCAAAATGACACCGTTTAAGTTCTATATAATACATGAATTCTTAGTAAAATAGTGTAAAAAATAGTTGGCAAAAGGTTACAGGCATCGACATTATTCATTTACATGCAAGTTTTTAATTTTCAGTTTACTTTAAGACCAAACAATCATGACCTACTTTGCAGATAAATGACCATAATTCACTAGAAAGAATTAAGTCACTCTCTTTTCCCAGCATATTATAACACCGTAGGGAACGTGTTACAGTATCGCGTTTTTCGGTTACAGTATAGAATTTTCAAGATGGAGGATTATTTGTTGGGAGGACAGGTAGGTGATTTTTATTCCGATCCATACTACAAGTAGTTTAGTTTCTAAAAGAAGTTTTTGTGCTTTGCTTGTAAGGAACATAATCCGGTATCTAGTCATATATTTCTTCAGATTCTGCACCGCAGATTTATCGCTATATTGTCTCATAAATATGCAGATTTGACAGTTTGAAAATTTGAATCGAGAGACCAACGCATTTTTCTCCAATTTCGACATTATTTTATGAATGCCTAGAAAAAGTAAATCTGCAAAACGTTAGTCCTTTATGTTAGGAACGTTTATAAAAGTAAATGACCAGTTGAACATATTTTCCTGTTCGTTAAATGCGTTTTGAAAAAATAAACAATGTTACAGTATAGAGTGAGGTGATTTGTGCAGGGTTACAGCATAGACAAAGCGATTTTTATCCGATTTTGTTACAGTTTATACCCAGATTTCGGTTACAGTTTAGACTTTGATATTTTCTATATATACTATATACTAGGTAAAATGTATAAATGTTACATAGACTTAAATCTCTGTGAGCTTATTGGCCCGATGGCTATTCGTCCGTCTGTCGTACAAAAATGTGTGCAATCTCATCCGCTCAGTAACTACTTGACTAAATGTGATGAAATTTACATGACTTTCTACCAATTTAATTTTCAAATGGTTTCGGTTGCAATCGGGAATACGAAAACCAAAAACATAGATTTCGAAAAAAAAGCAATGCTTAAAGACCTTTCTCATCTCGAACCAAAAGCATTCAAATCAAATCAAATCATGATCATGGCGTCATTTCGAATGCTTCTTTGTTGAAGTAACGATTCTTTTGTCATTATTACATTAAAAGTCGTTTTCTTTTAATTTCAGACATCCCGTATAGCAGTTTTCATGTTTCTGAAAAAAAAAATATTGAAAGTTATAGAGTACAAATTAAGGTCAGACAATTACAATATCTTCTCTAGTGAGCCTGATGGAGGTACATAATAGTGGCAAAGTCGGGATAAGGCCGTCGACTTCAAATGAATCATCTTTCCTTTACTGCTGTAGTTGAAATCCAATCATGACTTTGGATTTTTTGTATGTGAGGAATCTATCAAGCTAATTTACAGAAGGTCGGTGGTTCTAGTCAGGTGCCCGTGTCTGAAATGTTTCACAAAGGGTATCTGGGGTCTTTCTGTACACTAAAGCAGGAATGTTTTCACATGACCTCAGTGTCGTTGAAACTTAAAATCCAAGAAAGCCAAACGTAACAAACCCTTTTAAATGCTAATAAAATACATTATGGTAGATGGAAATTGCAACTTAAAATAAGATTTAAGTAATTAAGTAATAGAAAGAGCATCGAAACACGAGGCTATCTGATTTATACGAGGGGGCACAGCCCCGAGAATAAATCAGATTGCCGATTGTTTTAATGTTCTTTCTCTTTTGTATTATAGTCAAACATAAAAACACGCTCCCTGTTGTCACAATATGAAACCCCGGAGAAAAGTAACCAATGAACGAGCATCTAAATATGACATTTCTGTCGTTTTCCCTTTCTCTGCCGTCACAATAAGTAAACCCCAGCAAAAATGAGCCAATCAATGGGCATGCTCTGGAGTGCGGGTAACTAATACCTGCACTCCAGTTAACGCACAGTGCATGTATACGATTTAACTCGGACACATTTTCAACAGAAAGGTTTTAATCTGGGGTAATATGCCGCTTTTCATAGAATGGCAATAACGTGTCACATTGAAGGTTCCATTATAACCGCCATATGAACATATCCACAGATGTTAAAAAATCTAAAGTGTACCAGTTCATGTTTAATGTGAAATCTGCTGAAGCCGGTGCTAGGAGGCGTGGATGGTAGCTTGCAGTTACCACTACCGTCCATGAACATGTATAATCAAACTCAGCCTGCAACATTTTCATGCTTTCCGTGTTGGACTTCTATTTAGGATTAATTTTTCTCTATTTTATTACATATAGGCATTATTATAATGTGTAATGAAATCAAGCAATAATCTTTCTTCTCTCAATACAATTCGATACAAGTTACTGTTGTTGTCGTGAAAACAGTCCTTACTTAGGACATTTACTTATTCTGCAAAAAGTCTCAATCTGAAACTTAAAGGATGAAAAATAGCAAATTAAAACTTTTCTGCTGAAGAAAAAAAGTTATAAAACAACCTTTCAAGAATG